CAGGTCAAATTAAATGAAAAACTAATTAAATAAGTCTCTAACTCATATATATTTAAATTAGTAAGGAATTACAAGTTGTATAACTAATATTATTATGATAAAATATAGATAGTAAACAAATATAATATAATCTTAGTTTTAGTTTTTTTTTATAAAAGATGTCCAAATCTTTAGTTTGTAAAAAAATAATAATACATAGATTTAGAATATCAAGTTGATCGAATCGAATCTATTTTATCTAATCGTAAAATTATTCAAAACCTTACTCCGATGTTTTATATTCCAACAAATGGTTCAATAATATAATCCACAAAATATAAACATGCAAATTTTTCACAATTTCGTCTGAAAAAAAATATATTATCGCAATATCTTGAACTTAAAAAATATTTATTATTTTAATTTAATGATATAAATGATAAATTCAAAAACAAATACATTATATCAAACTTAAAAAATAATAATAAAAGTATTTAAAATTTATATATATATATATATTAGTGGTCTATACTAGGGGTGGGCACGGGTCGGGTACCCCCAATTTTTAGAAAACTCTGTCTCGTCTTCATCATTACGGGTTTTACAAAAACATTATCTCATTCTTGGCTTCATAAAATCCGGGTACTTGTAGCTCGGGTTTAATGAGATTCTCGATCTTGTACTCGCGGGTACCCGGATCTATACGACTTATAAAATTTTGAACTATGAAATGATAGATATACAAAGTACAAATGAGATATGTCAAAGTATAAGGAGAAAAAAAGTTTACGAAAAAGAGAGATGAGTAAAATTTTGAGAGAAAAATAATGAATGATTCGGTTGCATAGAATAAGATTTGGAATGTTAGAATTTTTGTATAGAAAGGTTTAGAAGATAAAAAATGAACTAAAATAAAAGTATTTTAATAAATAATAAGAATAATTTAGACAAAAATATTATAAATATAAAGTATATTTTAGATTTTTAACAAATATATCGGGTACCCCTTGTAAAATAATTGAACCCCCACTCGGACTCGCGGGTCAAAAATTTGGCTTTATTAATACTCGATCTCGTTATCGTTAATATTCAGGTACCCTTTATTCGGGTAGTTGTTAAGCCGGGTACCTCTAAACCCCCGGGTTACGGGTTAAAGCGCCCACCCCTAGTCTATACGATCTGTGCGGGTTACTATCTAAATGAAAACCGAGAATATGATAGAATTGTTTTACGGATGAGAAACTAAAAAAACTTCTTTATCGTAGAATTAAATAGTTACTATAGATTTTGGTGGATCAGATAAACTAAATTACGAAGAAAAGAAAGTCCGCGCGATTCGCGCGGGTTATTAACTGGTCAATATTCAAAACGACACATCCGTCCATTGATTCATTGAGCCATCAAATATACAAAGATAAATAAAATACAACAAATAAAAAAATAGTTAAGTGTTCTCATTATAATAATTCTCTATACTCTACGTTGATCCAAAAAACACAATGATGGAGAAGACACCCTAATAAATCCTAACCAAAATAAACCAAAGTAAACCAAACCACCGAACCAACCATTCTAATGGTTCCAATTAAACTAGAAAATAACAATTTTACATAAAATGAAAAATTAAACTTTTCTCTCATAGTCCTTAATCATATGTCAACACACACACATATATATATATATATATATATATATATATATATATATATATATACGTATATGTGTGTATATACACACACAAAGGATTTGTGGTTGAATGGTAAAAAAGTTTGACATGATACGTACAGGCTAAAAAAGTAGGGTCTAATCCTTTTTAGAGGGAAAAAACAAAGATATCATTCATTTACTTGCCACTAACTAGATTGGAAAGAAATTTATTTATTTTTTAATACACACCACTAACGAGTGAATGTTATAAAAACATGTTATGAAATGGACCAAAAAAGATATGTAAACGAGACAAACATAATAATGATCAAAGTGTGTACGTATATATATAGTTAGTGATATATCAATCAATTGTAATTTTGAAGCATTTTGTTCCATCAATGCATAGCTATAATTAAGATTGGGCCTTTTTCATCTTCTCATTAGAAAATAAAAAAGATGTTGATGATGTGATCACTATTTGAGTTTTTTATTAATAATTATAGTTAAAGGAAAAAAAAATCAAAAGTCAAATAAGATAATTCCAATTTAAAAAAAAAATGGGTCAAATAGGACAATAGATTAGATGGGAAGGGATGGGAGTGGGTTTGGTGCGGTCAACGCGAAGTGAATTTTGATACCATTATTGCTGGCTTTGCTTCTAGAACATTTATTTGATCACGTGTCACATTTGGACGCACAAACTTTTCTTCCCGTGCGTGTTGATCTCAGCCCACGAACTCAACTAGCAATGGTGGGAATTTGATTTAATTATGTAAATAACTAAAATTGTAACAAAGGAGATGCGAGGGTGACATCAATTGTTATTACGCATGTTTGTTTGTATAATTTTCTTCGATTGTTAGTTGCTGCACTCCTGTCTCGATTAGGGATGGATATGGTTCGGCTATTTAAAAATCGAATCGAATCGACCATTATCAAAAATATCTTCCATTTGCTATTTTGACTTCAAGATATATCTTTCTTCAACTATGACCATGTGATCTATGTGACCCGAAATATAATCTTGATCATATTGGTCATAACGTTAAATTTATTATGATCACTCATTCATTATATTCATACCTTATATATCTCACTAATTATTTGATAAAATATTAAAAATTTAATGTTATGACCAATGTGATCAAGATTATATTTCGAGTCATATAGGTCACAGGGTCACAGCTGGAGAAAGGTATGTCTTGAAGTCAAAATAGCAAATGGAGAGTATTTTTTATATAATACCTATCGAATCCTATTGAAAAATAAAAATATAAAAAATAAATAAAAATATAATAAGAATTGAATCATTTTAGTGTCATTGCTTATATTATAATAAAAATAATGTAAATATTTATAGAAAAATTATCACATAAAATTTTAAAAAATATAGATACAATGAATACAAATAAGATATACAATATTTAGTACAATATATTGTGTTAATTATTATTTTCAATCATATCTAAAATTTATATTCATTTTTTTATCAAAATTTATTTTTCTAATTCAACAAATCCGATCGATATATATCCGAATTGAATTGAACTAATTAAAATTAAATAATCGTTTGGTTATAAATTTTTTAAACCCGAAATAACCGAATGTGAATTAACTGTAGACCGAATAAACCGAATCGAATTAACCGTTACCGAATAAATTGAATATAATCGTTTATCCACTAATGTATACTGATTAATATGTAATATATGTTATATTTATAGAAAAACTAGCATAAGATTGTTTTATAATTATGGTATATAATTAAAGTGAGTTTTTAAAAATTTTCTTCAATAATATTTCAAAATTTGTTTCATCTACTATTATAAGTAAACCAGTCGGAATAAATTTTTATTTGGTTATAGTTTTAATTAGATATATAATCGGACTGAACCGAACTGTAACCTAACCTATTAAAATTAAATACCTGTTTGATTATGAACTTTCAAAACAAAAAATAACCGAACTCGAATATTAACCATAACCGAATAAATCGAATCGAACCGTTCATTCACCCCTAGTCTTGGCATCTAAGCTAATTCAGCAAAACAACATTTACTATAAAGTTGATTATCGGTTTTTTTATGATATAATATCATACAAAGAACACCCAATTACAATGGGTGAAGAAAAATCAATAGAATATGTATCTCGAGGATTTGTTGGGGGTGAATGAATACTAATCAAACGACGGTATTGTAGATCGCTTTAGACTTTGATACCATGCAAAGTAAAATATTTTGTTCATATGGTTATGGATCATGGAGATGTGAATTATTTTTTTTTGTATGGTTATTGAACTCTATATATAGTCCTTATTATTCCAAGTTATAAAAATTCACACTTTTAGTCGTATGGACCGCCATGAACGACGATGTTTTATATGGTTATTGATAATTAATGGATATGTGAAATGATTCATCTATAACGAGGTGGGAAGATGATGAAACATTTCAGAGGCTGTATGCATTATGCATAATTTAGTAATTAATTATGGTGATATAAAACTTATATTACAAATTCGGAACAATACGAATATATCATTATTTTATTGGTAGAGAAAACATATAACAAAAGTGGACTTGGAATGCAAATTTTGTTACTCCTATTATCTCTAGGATGATTATTTTAAACGCATCCTATTTATAAACAACATTCATATAAATATATCATTTACCTTTACAAAAATAAAATAAAACTTGGAATACAAATTCGTATAATGTGATATATACATGATTTTTAGACTTTATTGCACAATCAACCTCGACCAACTTAAAAGATATAAAGGGAATTACCCAAATTTCATCAAAAAAAAAAAGATATAAAGGGAAGGAAAGCAAAAGCTTCGGTACCATGGTTACAGGCTGTTGCCCTTATAATAAATATTTTTTTTTGGTAATTCTCTTTTTCATATTTATATTTGTTACAGATAAAGATGAAATTAAGATTCCAAAGTCATTTTGCAGTAAAACATAAAATAAAAATAATGGGAATACTTTGTAACATGATGGTCCAAATGTTTTCTTCCACCCCCCCAAATATCACAGGTTCAAACACCATAACAAATATAAAAACAATTATAATAAGATCATGGATTTAAATCTCATGCTACGTTCATTCTCATTCCTATCTTAATTATCTGCTATAGACATGTAAATCATATATATTTTGTTTTTATGTAAATCCTATTTTTTTAAAACAAAAATAAAATAAAATAAGAGGCAAAAACAAAGCGAAAATCGAAAATGCCTTGCGTAAAGTCATTGTTTCATCCTCATTGATGCAGCAAAATTAAATAAAAAAATTTGAATATATATATATACACATACATATATACACACATACATTCATAGTATCTGTTCTTCCAGGTAACCATAAATTCATTATTTTGCGCATATGAATGATTCGACAATGACGAGCAAAGACTGGGCAATACAGGTAGAAGACAAAGCCGCAATCATGTCGGAGACAGCGACGGCAGAGGAAGAACAGTGGAAGCGACAATCCATCTACAACATCCATCCGTACATATCCGACCTGAACAGCAAGGCTTTTGTCCCTCAGGTCGTTTCGTTCGGACCGTACCACCACGGGAAAGACCATCTCAAGTACATGGAGAGGCACAAAGAACGCGCCCTTCTTCAGTTCTTGAAGAGATCGAAGAACCCCTTCGAGGTTTTCATGGAATCTTTGGTCTGTATAGAGGAAGATCTGAAGAACTCGTACGATTTGCTCGGCGATGAGTGGAGACAAGACAGCGACAAGTTCTTGAAGATGATGATTCTTGATGGGTGTTTCATGGTTGAGATCATTAGGGCTGCTACCGATGAGGTAAGAGATTACTCTCTGAGAGATCCGATTTTCAGCGATCATGGCGGGATTTACGTTGTACCTATCATCAAGAGAGATATGATGTTACTGGAGAATCAGTTGCCGATCCTGCTCATCGATACATTACTTGCAGTCGAAGCAAACAAACCCGAGGTATATATATATATGTACATCGATTAATTCGACCATAAACACACTCCGGGTTAGCGTTGTTTTGTGTTTTTTATGGCGATATTCAGGATCTGGGTATGGCGAAGGAGCTTATCGGGAAGTTCTTCTGTCTCGGTTCGGGCAGATGGAAAGAAGGAAAGTTCTTGCATTTGTTGGATATATACCGATATAGTCTGGTTCAGGAACAGAGATGCGAGGACGAAGACATCATCCATTCCGCAACACACCTCGTTGAATCGGGAGTCAAGTTCCGAAAGAGCAAAAGCTTACGTCTCAGGTCGGTTTCTTCCAACTTATGATGTCTAAGTTCATCTGCTTTGATGTTCCTTTTTTTTTTTAATCTGCGGTTTTCGGCTATTTGCATACGCGATTAAGGATCTCTGAACACATTTTTGGAAACTTGAAATCATGTCAAGATTTGTAATTTGCATTTAATCAAATAATATTGTATATATATACTCAAGGCATTTAACCAAACCAAAACACTAACGACTATTTCTCCTGCAACAAGCAGCGACATCAAATTCAAGGACGGAATCCTGAGCCTGCCGACGATAACGGTGGACGACACGACGGAATCAACGTTCCTGAACCTAATGGCGTACGAGCGGCTCCACGTCGGGGCGGGGAACGAGGTGACGTCGTACGTGTTCTTCATGAAAGGGATCCTCGACAGGGCAGACGACGTGGCCCACCTGGTCGGCAAAGGCATAATCAAGAACGCGTACGGAAGCAACAAGCACGTGGCCGACCTCTTCAACAGGCTCTCCAAGGACATAACCATAGATCCGAACGGAGAGCTCGAGAAGGTTCAGAAGACCGTGAATCTGTATCGGAAGAAGCACCGGCACCGTTGGCGTGCCAGCCTTGTCCGTACTTATTTCGTGAACCCTTGGGTTATTATCACTGCTCTTGCTGCCATTTGGATTTTTGGGTTCGATTCCATTGCTTCTGTTTACTCGGTGCTCTCTTACTACAAGTAAGATGCCTATATACATATGTTTGTGCGTATGTATATGTGTATGTACTACATGGCATTGCTTCATGATGTATGATGACACGTGTCACATCCGTCCTTACAGAAGAGTGAAATAATAAAAAGATCATTTCCAAATATTTCCTTTTATTTACATAATAAAGATTAAAGACGGAGATTGAAAATCTCAGACCAAAGCGTGTTTCCTTGAACATGTACACAGCTTCAGCTGCTTAAAGAATGGTTAGCTTTCTGAGTTCTTGGGAGCCGACAGAACTACCAATAGTTATCATTAACCTCTCTCTTCAATCACTTGCTTCACTTGCCGATTCCGATTATCCGAAGCTGAAAACGTGTATATATATATACATATATATTATTATAATCAGAAAATCCGACAAATTTAAAAGTTTCGAAAGAGATGGCATGTAACTCACGAGATTGTTTCTGGGGGTCTTCCAGTAGAATCCATGAACGAACAGAAACAGAACATTGCAAGCTACAAGAACGTAGATGGACAACGCGTGCATTCCCATCCACTCCAACACGAGGGTCAATCGTCGGTATCCGTACACATCCACCTGCGGAGAAACCGCCCAAAATCGTGATTCAGCAGAAGGAACGTTTCGGGAACCCGAGACGCCAGTGAGAACCCCAACCTTCGGGTTCCATCCGTAGATCAACCCGAACCTGCAGGTGACCCGAGGAGAGGGATACCCAAAGTGGAAGGTCGAGGTCCAGTACGTATAACATCTCGAGTACCCAACCCGTGCCCATTAGCAATAAGTAGTAACAGTGTTGTAACCCATACCATCAAGTAGATAAGGGAGAAGAGAAAGCCAGAAGCACCAGCTGTGACACAAGTGTAACTGAAGGAGTAAAGAGGCTTATTCAGATGCATCCCTACAATGAAAAAAAAAACCGAATATCACAATGAAATTTGAGCCCCATTCTCGAGTTATCGAGGGGAAGAAGAAGAAGAAGAAGAAGAAGAGGAACCCTACCGAGGAGATCGAGAGCAAGACCAAGCATCAGAAGGCAAGAAGAGAGTATAACCCATTGATTCAGACGTTTTTTATGGTCCTGTAATAACATTGTAAGTTGAATCAGACCATGGAGTAGTTCCAGGAAAAAACACCAATTTTAGAAAGCAAGTTACCTTGAAATGAACAATGATGTGGCCATAATGCAGACCAACCAGGCATGTAACAATGGCCATGAATGAACTACAACAAAAAACTTGCCAGTTATTTGGTGAACCACGGAAAACGGGTTCCTAAAATCGTTAGAATTTAGCTTAAATCCTTTGCGGGTAACGGGAATAACGATATCGGGCAACAAAAACGGAGAGAATATAAGCAAAACCTCAAGAGGCCTTCAGGGTCAAAAGGTGCTTGACACCAAGAAGGAGCATCTGGAGGTAAAGGGCCATAGTTTGGAGAATTTATACTGCAATTCTGAAAACGTAAAAAGAGAGATCGAAACGAAGATTATGTAAGAAATTATATGGGGGAGGAGGAGGAGGAGGTCACGAAGAAAAGTAAAAAACCTTGGTCCGTGAATATATCGGCTTCCTGTACAAATGTCGAATGCCCATTAACGTACGATCGATCATTCCAACAGCATTGCAAGCCGGTCCAGTGTCACCTCTTACACCACATTTGACCTTCAGTTGCATAACAGAACACATCGGTCTAAAGATTTAAAAGGTAATATTAAAAAGGAAGAGACGGTATAGAGGAAGAGACAGTATCCAACCAAGAATGATGCAGAATCTTCACTAGAAACCCGATACTCCCAATCAGGGACATGTTGTCCGTATAGCAAGAATAGATATACGGTCGAAATAACAAATGCCACCACCCTGTCAAGAATCATCCATGAATCAATGGAATGCAAACAATATCCATATGTCGTCACGTTATAGAAAACGGGTAGTCTTAACAAAGATTTCGTCAAAGTTATGGATCGCAAAGTCGGGTTATTTCCAAGAAGCAAGACAACATTTACCAGTGAAATCTGTACTTCCTTGTCACCGCTAGCTCTGAGTTGACATTATTCTCACCCTTCAGCCAAATCTCGCATAGTGCAGAAACTAAATACGCGATTGCTATCCTCTGAAGACGAAAACAGGAAACAGTTACGGAGCCAAGATTCAAATATTTGCAAAGGAGGTACCGGAAAACGTTTAAAATCTACCTGTAATATGCCCATGAATCTAATTTGTCCGACATCTACACCATAAGTTAGATTGTTAAGTCCATGAATGAAGCCTCCTGAAAATTTTGAGATGGCACAAGTATTAAAATTCCTCCTCACTCCAAACCGAAGCAGAAAAACCGGAAAACTAACAACAGAAACAGATAAAGCATTCCACTGCACATGTTTTGAACTTGCCTTGGAGAAAAAGGCCTAGTAAAAAGAGCTTCAGTGACCGAAGAACCGCTTTCCTTGTTGCCGAATACCTGCATGACAAGTTCTGCAAAGGAAACAGATTTGATGCGATGAGTCAATCTCGATAGATTACTAAGTAACTTCACACCATGAAACAATTCAGATAAATCCTTCAAAGAACTATAACTTTATAAGAACATGAAACAAGAACTTGATGCTGAAACCATGGTGCTAAGAACAAGCATACCTTATAAGCAAAGGCGAGAGCAACACCGACGATAAAGAGGAAAAAGGGCATGACGAAATCTGCTAGGGTTACGCCATTCCAAGGCGAATGATTGATAGATGGAAAAATCCCTCCAACATCATCCACAAGTATCATCAACTGCATCATTCACAATCACAAAAAAAACACAACTCAGATCACGGAAAAAGATTGTTCTTCATCTAAATATGGCTACTGCTACATTGGGTATTCACTTGTCAAACCCTCCATTGCTACAACAAGGCTTGATCAAACCCAGAACATAAAAATCTAAAGTAGACACCGAGCTGTAATAAAGTTTGAATCTTTTTTCCACTCTCTGTAAATAAAGATCAAATTTTTTTGTTTCCTGGAATCTGAAACTTAAAAAAGTCTGAATTTTTTTTTCAAAAAACGAAACAAAATTATGGCAAGAAATTCAAAGAGGGTGTAATGTAAGAAACCCAACGAGAAAGTTTCACCCACCGCAACTGTAACCCCACGAAAGACGTCGAGAGAGACGAGCCGCTCCTTCTCCTTCTCCGCCGCAGACGCCGCCGACGGATCCAAAGGGCGAGGTCCCGATACTTGTCTCTCCTCTCGCATTCTCTACCCTTTTGATCTCTTATCTCCATCCTTTCATCATCATAACTTCTGATTGGTAGGTACATTGTCAAGATCTGTCGAAATTTCAGCAAAAAAACTTCTTCACCGCAATTGGGTTTTCTTCTTCCTCTTCATCTACGTCGTCGTCGTCGTCTTTCCTCCACTACAGGTGATGAATGTGTGTGCGCATATATGTATGCATCAATATATCTAAGAAAGATGAAATCGGATATGGTTAGGATTCTAATTTTGTTAAGCTTCCATATCGATAAAGGATTCAATCGCTTGATCTACCAAACGGTTCACGAATCTCGACCCACTTGACTTGATCCATTGTTTCTGAATTATTCTTTTTTTTTTCCTTGGAGGAAAAAAAAAAATTCTTCTGAGAAATCGATGTCGTATTTGTTCTTCACACGTGGCGTGTTTCTATTGGACCTTATAAGATAAAGGAGGATATGTTTCCTAATTTGATGGGCCTCAAAATAGAACGTACGGCCCAATGGAGACTAGCAATATCCACAAGTAGGCGGTGATCCTATGCAATATATTTCCCAAAATATAAGTTATTTGAATTTCGTTTTGGGCTCAAGCATACAATATTACCATGAATAGATTTATTAGGTATTATGCTAAAAAAAATACTTATCAAATATGTGTATTTAGATACCTAAATGGAAATTCCAAAATATGAAATATAAAATAAAAAAATGGATTTTTTCCCCACCCATTCACCTTACCATATTTGCGGTTTAATTACCAACTTTGGGGTTTTGACTCGGCCAACAAGTTCTTGTTCATCCTCTGCTTAACCCTAAAATAATCACCTTCTTAAATAATAAATACGGTTGGATATTGAATTCGGATTACAAAAAAGATCGAATTTATTTTAGTTCATTTGTAGTATTTGTTTTTATTGAAATTTATTCACGATTCATCGAATTCATAATTAATTAAATTGGAAAATCAAAACAGAATTTTTATTTTATTTTTTAATCAATTAAAACCTATATAAATACCGCAAGAAAATTAGTTTCGAAATACACAGTCAGATCGATAAATTTGACTAGAAATAAATACATACTCTGAAAAAAAAAATGTAAATCATGAGAGATATAGTACACTAATACAACTAATCCAACTATTTTAACCGTAACGTGATTATGTTTTCGATTTGGTTGAGAATCAGTACGATCTGTTATGTCAGAAACATGTACATGGTGGTTTATGTTGGCTCCGCGTTCGACAATTGGTATAGGTTTAGAGGTCCATAGAGATACTTTTATTCTTTTTGCAATTTGTATATATACAGGATGTAATCGAGACTTGGAGTAATATAAGAGAAAATTTCTGAATCTACAATCTTCACTTTTCTCTCTCAAACTTTCTTCTCCTCTGTTCTTTGCTCAAAGTTCTTCGAAGCTTTCTCAGAAAAGTTGAAATGGTATCAAAGCTCTTTTGAACTTCCGTTTCCTTACGTTCTGGTAACCTTTTTTTTCACCTTTCTCCTTTATTTTCCTTTTTCGCTTACCTCTTTTCGGCCATGGCAGACCAGACTCCAACTCACTCTTCGACCTCTGATAAAACCCAGACCACAAATCCTTCCAATCCTTATCAAAACCCAGATCCATACTCCAACCCTCTTTTCCTTCATGCTGCCGACTCGTCGAGTCTTGTTCTTGTCTTTGAAAAACTCATCGGTGAGACTAACTACACTTTATGGTCTCGTGCCATCATGAAGGCCCTTCTTACCAAAAACAAGCTTGGTTTCATCATCAGTACTCAGCCCCAGCCTGAGGACACCCACGCTGACTTCGGTGCTTGGTCTCGATGCAATGCCTTGGTCTGCACATGGCTCACCAACTCGGTTTCTCCTTCCATTGCCAGTCTTGTGATGTTTCTCGATGATGCTCAAGCTATCTGACACACCCTAGAAACTCGATACAAACAGAAAAATGTATCGAAGATATTCAATGTCGAGCAAAAGATCGATGCTCTGCAATAGGGTGCTATGTACTTGAATACCTTCTTCACGAAGCTGAATACTCTCTGGGAGGAACTGAAAAACTACGAGCCGTATCCCGTCTGTTCCTGTGGAGGCCGCACCTGTCAGGCAAATACCAAGTTCCTAGAACTCATGGAGAGACACAATGTTGTTAAGTTTCTGATGAAACTTAACGAGTCTTACAATCCTGCAAGGCGTCAGATCTTAATGCTGGAACCCTTGCCAAGCCTGTCAAAGATGTATAACTCGATCTCTCAGGAAGAACACCAACGCCTAGCTTTTTCACCACCTTCTGAGTTTGCTGTTTTTCAAAGCTCCATTTTACCTAGCCCCAAACCCAGATATTTCCCCACCAAATCTCGTCCATTTTGCTCTCATTGTGGTTTGCAAGGGCATACTATTGCTCGTTGCTACAAGATTCATGGGTATCCCCCAACCTCTAAACCACCCTTGCTCTTAGGACCAAACAACCGACCTCCTCTTCTGCCTAAGCCCACATACCAGCCAAAATACTAACCCTCTGTAAACATGGTTTCTACTGAACCTGAACGCAAGGACACCTCTGCTGTCACTTCTCTACCTAAGGGCATTACTCTGGAGCAAGCAAAAACCCTGTTTGAGCAGTTTCAGACTCAGCTCAATGATCTTGGCAGTTTTTCCAAATCATCGGATAACATTGCTGATGCCAACCCATCCCCATGTATATTTTCCCCTTCACCCTCCTCTGTTTATATCATCTCCATCATTAACCCGTCTATTACCCCTTTTTCCAAACCATGGATACTAGATATTGGGGCGAGTTCTCATGTATGCTGTGATTTGCACTTATTCTCTGATGTTCAAGCTATTTCTCCAGTTTCTATTGCTCTTCCTAATGGTTTCATGCTCTCGGCCAACTCATTGTGGCACCATCGAGATTTCTCCTGCTTTGGTTTTATATTCTGTTCTTTATGCACCTTCTTTCAACTTCTATCTTCTAAGTATTAGTGCTTTAACTCGTCAAACTTCTTACACTGTGACTTTTTCTCGCCATTCTTATATTATCCAGGACCCTTTGCGGGGATTAACGATTGGGATGGGTAACCAGAAACACAACCTTTATGTCCTACCCATGTAACCGCTTTCATCTTCAGCACTTTCCCTTCTGCAAACGTCGTGTACAATCTCTTCAATCACCAGTGTTGAATTATGGAATCAACGGTTGGGTCATCCTTCAAGTTTTAAAGTCCAAGCTTCCCCCACATCAGATATTTTGCGTTTTGTTCAAACTAAAACTGTTAATGTAGACTGTAGTATCTGTCCATTAGCAAAACAGAGAAAACCATCGTTTCCTTCAGGTGGTCATATGTCTTTGAATCCTTTTGATTTGCTACATTTGGATATATGAGGACCTTTTCAAACTCCAACTTTTGATGGTCACAAATACTTCTTAACTATTGTTGATGATTCCACCAGAGTCACTTGGTTATATCTATTATCCTCCAAATCTGATGTTCGAAAGTTATTTCCAGAGTTTCTACAATCTGTTGAAACACAGTATAATGCTAAAGTTAAAGCAATTCGGTCTGATAAGGCCCATGAACTATCTTTTTCAGACATTTTTGTTGGGTTCCCTTCGGGTTCCTAGCATGCGATCTCATCGATCTAGGGTTTGGATTCTAGGTTTCACACAGCGGAAGGAAAGATCTAAACCTAGCCAAACGTCACACAAAAACCAATTGTGCAATAACCCGAACAATCGTGTATATCGTCGTGGGATTCGAATACTTACCTCGCACTTTCTAGATCTGGAAGTATCAATCGATCCAGGGCCTGTTTTTGATCACCGAGAGTTGAAAGCACAACTCCTCTACACGTATCCACACCGGCGGGATGAATTCCAACACTTTGGAACGTATCTGCTAGGATTTGTGAAGAGAAAACGATGTCCTTGACTTGGAATCGATATTCCAATCACTAGAACTCAAAATCAAGCTTCTCTAAGCTCTCATGAGTGTCTTGGACGTCTGAGGTTCGTTCTCTAGGGTTTGTGGCGGCTCTCTGAATAATTAGAATTGCCCAAAACCCTTAAAACGTGAAATAGGAAATCTGCCCGAAAGTCGGACCGTCCGGTCTAGGTATTGGACCGGACGGTCTGGCTTTCCACGCGGAACGGACGGTCCGTAATCCAACGCAGAACGGACGGTCTTGATGCCTGGACCGTCCGGTCCACAGCTGGACCGGATGGTCTGGCCCTTTGCGGAATGGTTGGTCCGTTCCTCAGCAGAACGAACGGACCATCATGGCTGGACCGTCCGTTCCAGACCTGGAACGGACGGTCTGGCCGTCTAGAACTCTTCCAGGTCATTCCGTGGTTCCTTTCTCGCGTCGTTTTCTTCACGTGTGATCCATCCCTAATGGTGTGTGACCCTGTTGGCCCATTCGAAGTGGCAGTGGCTTCGGAAACCCTTTTCCCGAACCACAAGTCATGGTTAGCCCCTAGCAAGACGCCATGGTCACCCACCTAGAATAGAGTTAGAGGTGATCTAACAAAGCCAGCAATAGTTCGAATTCTGATCCTTTGTCTCACGATGTCATATGTTGAACAAGGGCATGGTATGAGCCACCCTTCAAGTTCAACCGCTTACTCGTCTAGGCAAACCGACTGATAAAATAGTTGTACATTCATCTATAGCGTGGCCACGCATTTTCACAGTCCGATTTCCACGAGGGGCCCAGCGACATCTCTCCTGCGTAGGAGGTGACAAGTCCCGTATTGCATGTCTACTATCTGCATATGATTCGTGAACGTATCTGAGCAACGCCGTTATGATCATCCGGTTAAAGACGACGTTTGACGCAGTCAAGACACATCACTCCTCATATCAGATACTCTAGACATCTCAAGTCTGAGGATCCAAGAACGAACCGCTATATGAGATTCAAGTCATGACTC